GAGCAACAATTCTTTTTTTCAGATCCTCAGAGAGTTCTTTGCCATGAGGTGCCATGTTGAACTTCCAGTGACCAGTATGAGAGAGTGAGAGCGATAACACCAAATTTAACACACCTGCTCCCCATTCACACCTGAGACCTTGTAACACTAATGAGTCACATGATTCCGGGGAGAGAAAATGGCTAATTGGGCCCAATTTGGACATTTTCACTTAGGGGTGTACTCACTTTTGTGGCCAGCGGTTTAGACATTAATGGCTGTGCGTTGAGTTATTTTGAAGGGACAGCAAATTTACACTGTTATACAAGCTGTATACTCACTACTTTACACTGTAGAAAAGTGTCCTTTCTTCAGTGTTGTCATATGAAAATATATAATAAAATATTTACAAAAATGTGAGGGGTGTACTCACTTCTGTGAGATACTGTATATATGGATGAGGAGATACCCCCTGACAATGTAAAGCGCTTTGAGTGTCCAGAAAAGCGCTATATAAATGCAACAAATTATTATTATTATAATATATATATAGTAGTTATGCAAGTATAACTAAGATTATTTGCATTTTCATGACAAATGTGTGCCCCCAATTCTCAGCACTGAATTTAAATAATGTAGTAACATTATAAATACATTATGGTAGTATTTGTTGCACTGCCTTTAATGTATGCCAATTAAAAAACAAACAAACAAAACGAAAAAGAAAAAACTCTTTAATTCTTGATTGTTCTAAAGTAGGCTTTTTTTTATGTGACCTGGACAGTGTTGCCAACTTTTAATAAGTGACTCAAACAATAAAAATGCACACATTTTCCATCTAAATTTCACAAAGAGGAAACCAAAGATGCCTAGCAGTACACACATCACGTGAATTAAGTTATTGCTACTTGCAATTGTTCAATTTGATAATAATAATAATAATTGTTCATTTATGATACACCTTGTTAGTAGCTTGTACCTGTGATTGTTGATTAGTTAGTACTCTGTAAGAAAAATATCTAGAAAAATAAAAAAGGTACTAGTAATTTTCCAGGACATTATCCGTTATCCGTTGTAACCCTATAACCCAAAAACACAAAATACAATGTGCAATTTAAAATGCAGGTAAATACACTGCTTAAAACTATAATTGTTCAGAATGTGTAGTTTTACTAGTTTACTAGCTAATAAAAAAAAACGTATTCGTCGTTAAATTGTTCAAAAAAAGTGTTCAATAATTCAATGTTGTATATAAAAAGTTATTTCTATTTTAACATTACATTATTTTACGAACATATCTAAATTAACATATAAAAATATATTTTTTTGCTGACATTTGATGTAGTGACAAAATTTTGCATCACGATTACGTAATGTCACAACGTAATTTAGAAACTTTCACCAACAAATCGACCTTCCTTTAGCAACTTCCCCTGAAAATTAGTTGGCAACACTGGACCTGGACATATTTTTTAAAGTTTACCCACTACCCTAGAGGATGGTCTGTCAGAGTGGGGACCATAGTGGGTATAATAATGCGAGATCTTTACTGCGGTCAAGCCAGCCGCCAAGTCGAAAAGCACGGTCAATCTAGCCGCCACGTTATTTCGAGGGTCGCGTATAAACTGCCTATTACGGTAAAACCGTCAGAGAACTGATCTGAATGCAGTGCTCCTCATCCAGCGAACGCGATTCCCCCCCAACACACAGTCAGTAACTGTCTGATGTTGAATACCAAAATAAAAGCCCTCCAATACTCATATTACAAAATAAGAGCAAGAATATACGCTTGCTGCATCTCTACATTCAAAAAGCTATAAAAATAAAAGCTCTGGATTGCACAGACCAGTTCCACCTCAGATTGAGAGTACACCTTCCCACGATGTCAGCTGCGTCGTTTCAGGACTGTCTGATGTGGAATTACAAAATAAGAGCCCCCACAACTTCC